TGAATTTGGTGAGGTATTTTCAGGCCATTTGCTTGGCAAAGTGTCACCTTTCCAGAAGATAGGCCAGAACTGTCCCTCCAAGTTGTATTTCTCCATCAGAATCCACATTTTCTACCCGGTGCTTTTATCGTTTATCTCGACAAGAGTGCTATCACGCCACCTTCAGGTGTCAGCTACCGGATTCGATTCCCTCTTTTTGATGTAGTCGTTTCCCGTGTCCCATCATGGGTTCAAAATCAGTACCAAAAAGCTGATTTCTGATGTTTGGGGTGTATCATTAGTACCATAAAATTACCATAATATGTTAACACCATAACCCCACTATTACCATAATATGTTGGTATATGGTAGAGCAGGGTTATGGAAGCCTAGCGACAACGTGTTGCTGTCGCGTTCATGATATGAAGATCAGAATTTGAAGTCTTACTAAATCCGCCCAAGCCATTAGGCTCTCAGGTACTTTTTGTTCTTCATTCCGTCCAAGTCGGTCAAGATCTTGTTCCTTGAATAGGATCTGTCCCTGCAGTAGATTTGAGTTATCAAGCCATCTTTCATTCCTCAGTGGCGATTTTGGACAGAAATCTGGTATATGGCGCGCTCCAAGAGAGCTTCATCAGTACCAAAGGCTTGTTTATGACACCAAAGCTTGAATGAATGACTTGCTTAATCGTTTTTTTCTCTGCTCGTAAACCTTGGTCTTCCCACAGTGTTGTTTGCCATTTCGTGAATCAACGATTCCAAATCGAACTTGAAATATTCGCAGCGTCGATCGATGTTTGCATACAGTATTTTGTTAGAGGCTCATCCCTACCATTGCGCTTGGCGTCGTTGGCGTAGCATCTTTGACTGATCATTTTTTTCTCTTCTATACAATTGACTGACCCCGTTATCAAACGTTTTATGGTCGCAGTAACATTTTCAGTTATATAAATATCTGGAAAGGGACTTGCGCTCGATAGGTAGTAATACGGTTATTTTTTCCTCACACTGGGTATTGTAACACATCGATTCGCACCTCGTATGCAAATGCTGTGCACTTTCCCGGGCGTAGCACGTTCTTGGTTTGATGCCAACGGCAGCCATTTTTTCGGATTCATATCAGTTTTCCATTTATAGAATTTTCTTGTTCCCCCTTTCTAGATTTGGTCGTGTTTTCTCTTTCACCGTTCTTCATACCCTTGAATTTTGGTGTATTGCTAATAGCAATATTTCAAAGTCAGTTGTTGCTGGAATATGCTACCAAAATTATTAAGAGGAGAGATAAAAGGAATCTTCCACGGAAAAAGCTCCGCCTCCATTACCACAGAAAAACGATACCCCTTAGGCCCCTAGCCTCATGAGCATAGCAAAAAGAACGGAACATAAGTTTCGATAATACTAATCCTACACACAAGACAAAATGATCACTCTTTCCGTGGAAGATTCCTTTAAGGTATCGTTTTCTGTGGTAATGAGGGCGGAGCTTTTTCCGTGGAAGATTCCTTTAAATGCCACA